TTGCTCCAAAAAAAGTAGTACTCTAGTTTGAAGACGAAAATCTGGTCTAAAACCAGATTGCGAGTCCGGTAACAGGCCTCGCCTATCCAAAAGTTTGCGAAAGCGATTGGTAAATAGTTTTTCGTTGACTTTTAAAAAAACATCTAAAAGAGAGATTGGACGAGTTTCGGCAGGAGTACAAACCGAGTTTTTTTTCGCTAAAACGATCATTCGAGCGTCCAGCCAAGCAGAAGAGATTGTCGCGTGTACAAAAGAATTATTAAAGATCTCAAGAAGAAGTGACCAATATTGAAAAGGAATAAAATTAAAATGATAACTAGAAATACCATGTGCGTCGCAAGATTTTTTCTTTTTAAGACTGCTTACTACTTCTAAAACTTCTTCCAGATTTGCTAAAGGTATTTGTTCCCCCCAAATCTCCGAATCCGAATACGTAGCATCAAGCCAAGGATGCGGACGGATTCCGATTTCTTCTTCTGATGGCGCCTCAAAATGTTTTCCGTAATAATCCGCAGCAACCTCAGCCATCTTTCCAGCGTCTCTTACAATATCTCCATTGGGTTGCAGAAATCCTTTTAAGGACGGGGTTGTGGCATGAAAAAATCTTTTCGTCTTCGACCAAAACGAGACTGAAATTGGGGAGGATGTATGACGAAGTGATAAACTTCTAACTAATTGTGAATTTATATAGTTTTTAATTTGACATTTCAGAAATTTACGAAGGAAATAAACTTGCTGCTTTAGCAGTATATCGCCTGTGCGTCTTTGCTTAAATGAGAGGGCGCGTACGAACGAAAGCTGAACGCGCAACTCGCCTGGTAGTGCGATTCTGTATTTTTCCACAGGAAAGTAGGTAGTACAGCGACAAGACAGAGGAAACAAAATTTTTTTATAGTTGTCGTATGTTGAATCCAGACGAGATAAATCCCAGCTTTTTTCCCAAAATTCATATACGGTTGAAAGAAAATAGGAAAAGACCTTAAAATGAAAATTTCTGCATAATTTTACGGCTTTAGAGTTTATCGAAACAGAAGAAATAATTGGTTTGTGATCGCTGGTAGTTGCCTTTGGGCAAGCCTCTATGTCCAAAGAGAACTTAGAGGAAAATGCAAAATCAATAGTTCTGTCAGATCTCAAACTCGTGGGACCTTCCGGTACAAAAGGTGCCAGGGAGCATGTATCTGCCCACTCTATTAATTTTTCTGACTTACTCTTATCCTTTTCCAAATCGACATTAAAATCGCCAAAAATGACGGTTTTATCGTCACAAAATTTGGAAAGGTCCTGCCAGTTCCAACTTCTGCTCTCAGAGCCATAAACCCCTATTAACCTTATATTTTCTTCAAGTTCTAGGTCGAGGGCAAGTACATCAGGGGTTGGGCAGTCCAGGCGCACCGCTTTAAAATCACTTCTGGTCAGTATGACAACTCCGCCATTCCGATTTTTCCCGGCCTGATAGAAGTAGCGATATTTACAGAAAAATTTGCACAAAAAGTCAGAGTCGAAAACACCCACTTCCAGAAGAATCAAAACATCAAAGTCTAATGAAAGTGATAACAAAAACACTTCCTGCATTCAAAGGTCAAGACCCCTTACATTAAAGAGCAGAACATTTAGTGTGTCCGAAAGGAAGTGAAGGCCAGGATTCTGATAGCATTCCCACTTTTTAAACAGAGTAGAAAGTAAAGGTGAATGTTCCCACTCATTCAAAACACTCGAGCTCAACATTTCTTTAGCCTGCTTCAGTTTTTCCTCTCTTTCCGTAGCTTTTTCTGGAATTACACAATGAAAAAAAGGGATAGCTGAGGAAGAGAGTGTCATTTAAAAATTTGTTTAGTTACGTTAATCTTACTCAAACGAGCCTTATAAATCTCCAAGTGAGATTTAAATGTTCCATCCTGAACTCTACCTTGTTTTGTGTTCTTTTCGTTGCAAAATTTCAATAGATCTTCGCAAAACGGCACAAAAATTTCTTTCAACATCTTTTCATGTTCAGTTATTCTCTGTTTAAGTACTTTGTTCTCCATGTTCAGTCCACAGATTTGTTTTTCTTGCTCTTCGTAGGACTTCTTAATATGTTCAACGGTTGTTTCAATTTTCTGAATGTTACTCGATACTGTCTCGATTTTTTCATTTAATTTATCATCCATCGAATTTAACTTTTCCATGAGGTCAGCGTTTTGAACATTTGGTACATTAAAAATATTCGGATTTTGTGCTTGACTCATTCGTGGAAAATTTTGTGGATTGAACCAATAATTTGAATTGGCTTGTGTCGTTGTCATTACTGGGGGTGTTAACATCTTTGTTGAGAGCAGACGTCGTGTTAAGTCAGCTCGAAACTGCTTAACTTTTTTACACTTCATATCAGTACTCATGTGGTTTTCACCACAGTGAACGCACTTCAGCTGTTGCGTGCAGACAATAATATGTTGTTTAAAGTCTGCGCAAGTCTGACCGCAATATTTACAGGTTTCCTCTTTTTCTTGACACTGTTTTCGGAAATGACCAATGGCACAACACTTACTGCAAATGAGAACTTTAGCCTGAGCCAGATACTCCTCAACTGTGAAGGATCGCCATTCAACTAACACTTTACCGTCGTTCAATAGTGCTTCTCTTTGTTTAGGATCTCTAAATTCCAGTTTCACCATTTTGACTCCTGTTGTTGTTTGTTTTTCATTCTCACGATATTTTCAAGTGTGTCAAACTGTTGCTTTAAATTTGTTGTAAAACTTTCGATATCAATTGAGAGATCAACTCCTTTAACAATTAGTGACAGCTGTGGTGGAATCACTGATCCGTTCGGTCTTTCGTATGTCTGTCAAAGGAGTGAAACTGGCCAGTTCATGTCATCATATAAATATGAGAATGAAAGACTGTCTTTAACGAATAGCAATATATCACATTCCGTTGAACCACATTTGACTGTGGATCGTCGATATGCTAACAGTTCTAAATTCAAGTGTTTACTGTCCTTCAAATATTTACAGAGTTCCTCTGCTACTTTTTGCTCTTTCACATTTGGTGTTTTGAATCTGACGACGAACGGTGCAAAGGGATATCGTGATTGAGCGTATCGTTCAGCTTCTTGAGTTAGTCGATCAGGATTTGTCATTCTCGTAGAGGCAGTAGTTGCTGCTTGCTGTTGATCAAAATCGAGTCTTGTCGCAGGGGATGAACCAAAATTTCTATTATCACTTGATCTCAAATTGAACCTGTGAGCTTGCTGTCTTGGTCTTTCTGCTGCTGCTGAACAAGTCTGACTGTCGAATCATTGTCAAAATCCTGCATTTCATCGGCGTCCTCTTCCACCTCAGGATAATCTCTTTTCGGAGTAACTTCGGCTGGTTTCATGTTGTTCCGATGAGGATCCGGTGCTACTTTTGGATGTTGAACATTATTTTTTCTAAACATTTGTACTTGATGACCTCGGTCATTGTAATTTGTGGTCCGAGAACATTGTTGCTGTTGGAGTGAATAAGACGGCATGAGAGACCGCCTACTCATCGTCTGAGTTTGAAATGTTTTCAAATTCAGATAAATTTAATTAATTTTGGGTTCACGTGTACAGAAACGTGACCAAAAATGAGTGAACTTTAATCTTTGTATATATGTATTATACTTTGTAAGGAAAGAAAGAAACACGTCCGTTCACTGTTTGTAAAAAGAAGAATATGAAAATTCATCGGAAAATCGATAGAGGCACATCACTAGACGCAGCTTTTCATGCTGATCACGAATCTGACTTTTCTTTGAAGAAAAAATTAATTTTCAATATAAAAATTTTAATTTAAAATTTCAGTTTTC